AGAGAGGGATAGGTGCTGAGGAAGGGGGGTGAGGGGAGGTTGGGGAAGCAAGCCCTCAGGGGCTCTCCTAGAGAAATAGGTAACACAGGAAAAATAGGATCCTCTTCCTTTTTTTTGAGCCTAAAAGTCCTTCCCTTCCCCCATTTTTCATAGGCAATGTCCCAACTCTTATCTTTCTTAATAATTCTCAACTGAACTAGCAGAAATTGCTGCTACTGACAGCAAAGACCTGCAGCTCACTGGGAGGAAACTGGCTGGGTGGGGAACAGCTTCTTATTGACTGGGATGTCTCCAGTTTGGTGCAATTTCCATCCCCATCCAGCCGTCTTCTCCTGGCCCACTGCTGCTCACCCGCACAACCCTGCCATCCCAAGGGCTTGTTCCTGCAGCCCCCTTGCCAAAGCAGTCTAAATGCCAATAGAGGGGCTCCTTTGGCATCTGCAGTTCAGCTGTTTGCTTCCCTTTTTTTTTTTTTGGATGTCAAATAGAGGAGCAGATGCTCCAGGCTGATGGGAGCTGGCTGGGAGAGCCTTTCTGGCTGTAGGGCAGACAAGAGCGAGGCAGGACAAAGCTGATAACTATGGGCCCTCTATTAAGGATGAACCTTTAATCCTTTTATTCACCCTTCTCCTACCTATGGCTTTTTCTGGCTGCCTCTAAAACAACATTTTCTTTTTCTTTTTTTCTAAATAATAATCAGCTCATTGTAGGCAGTGGCTCTGGGTCAGCCTAAAGCCCACCCAGAACACTTTAACTGGATTTTTAAAAGAAAAGGACAAAGCCACAAGCATCATTAGCACCATAATTTTGCTTCTTACATCCAAATGAGAAGACAAAAAGGCAAGGATAACATAGAAATGAGACCAGGAATAAGACAGGACTAAAGGAAGGCACTTGCTGCATCCACCTTTGTTTTCACCTTCGACCTTTTTGGAGAAGGCTGCAGTATTAAAAAGCAGTTAAGTTTCTCCTCTTCCACTTCTCAACATTGAAATGACTATTTTCCTTGCCCTGTTACCCTGTTTTAAGCTGAAGGGCAACAGTTTGTATGAGTCCCTGTTTGGATCAAATCAGCTCAAGAAGAACAAAGTATTATCTACACCCTGAACTAACATGAGCTCTGGATTAACTCTTGCTGCGGTAACAACGGAGCGAAGGGAAGTCAAAGGCTTCAGTGGGAACTGGATCGGACCAGAGTGAAACCCACCATTGCCCACAAAACTGAGAGATAGAGATAGAAGCAGCTGAGAGATTAGAAGAATATTAAGAAATAACCAACAATTCACAAACTACTGAGCCACCACCATGTCTTCACCAAACCATACACCAAAATACTGCTAGAATAAATCCTACCTTTAACATCCACACAGACGATGAATTTTTACACCAATTCCAATAGGTAGCATCGAGTTGTAAAAAGCATTACATCACTTCAAAATAAAAAGGCAAATCATATGTTATTTATGTATATGTTTTAATTAATTTTAAAAATGGTCTACATTTAAGGATAGATTTCAAGGGTTCCCTTATATTTTTTTTCTGTTACATTAGATTATACCTGAATAATCTGCATAGTAACTTTAACATTTCTGTTTTCTTTTTTTGTTGTTGTTTTTCATTGTGAAAATACCAGTTGCAGGTAGCAATGTAACATCTCAACGACAATCACAACACGTGCAGGATGTCCAGCCAGAAGCATTTCTCAGTTGACTTGCAGTAGCATGGCACTTTATAATTTGTGTATCAATACTCTTTTTTTTTTTTTTTTAAACTATTTTTTAAACTTTCAGATGTGGCTCAAGAAGCAAAAACAAGCTTTCTTCACTTAGACTCAAGCATGGGGAAAGCTCCTCAGCTGGCTGCAATCTGCTGCACTGGAGTTACTCCAGTTTATACTGACTTGAGGTTCTGGCATTTATTTTTTTCAAAACACACCTGTATTGCCTTCATGCTTTCCTTGACATGACTGCAAATTCAGGAATGTGACTTGAGTCCCTTTGTTAGAGGACCTTAATGAAGCCTGTCTAATGGCTCTGTCCCCCTGCCCTGCTCCCTGCACAGAGACATAAATGGAGAGGGCTGAATGCTGCACAGAGCAGCATGTTGGGGACGGAAGAGGCTCTTGAGAGGGGAAGAAAAAAAGAAAAAAAGAAAAAAAAAAAGCTAATTTTGCCCCTGGTGTTAAACTTTAACATGTGAAGCATTTCTGTTTCCAGATGATTGGCCCAGCTGCTTAAGAAGGTATTCATACCACCTACTGCCACAGACAGACTCCCAAAATCAGATGCTCTCAAGTCTTCTTACAGAGACAGTTATGTCTCTGCACTAACTGTATTAAAGCCTAACCTTAACGTGTGTGCTTTCATGAAATATCCACCATTAGGTGTTGTGAATACCGTCTCTCGCCCCCCCATAATCTTTCCTCACCCTTAGAAAAAAGTGCTTTTGCTTTTTCTACCTGATAAGTATTTGGGCTGCTCGATGCTCTCCCCTAGCCCATGTGTTTGTACTGAGATCTGTCCCGAGGAATCTGCACTTGGTTGGCTGTCAGCTTGTGGTGGATATGGTAAACGCAGAGGGTTATCACAATAACCAACCCCAGTATCAGGCCCAGAATCAGAGGCAGGGTTTCTTCTAACTGTTCCCTCTGGTCCACTGGGCACTTGTGTTCTGCAGGGGAAGAAAGGAAAAGAAAGAGAGGCAAAGAGAAGTGAATGAGACATTGCAAATCTGAACTCCTGTTGCAGTTGTGAACCGACCTCCCTGGAGTCACAGCTCCACCTTGGGGGTCCCTGTGCAGCAAGAACAGTCACAGCAGCAAGGAGAGACAGCAACCCTCATCCGAGTCCTAGGGAGAAAATCAATGGCTTTGGAGTAAAGTGAAATCCCAGTCACAACGCAGGGTTTGGAGAGAGAGATAACATCTATCAAACCAGCCAATATGGTGGGAAAAAACACTTTCATGCCCCTAAGATCCTCTTCCGGCCTCTGCTGTACCAGTACAGCAATAGCCTTGTTGGGAACAGACAGCAGAAGTACAAGTTTCCTGACTGGCTGAAGATCTGTTTTGGTTATTTAGTAAGTCTTTAATCCTGCATCAGACTTACCCTGCTCATCATTAAAAAGATTTTTCCCCTCTATCTGCAAGCTGACATAGTTGTAACAGCATCTCTCCCCCTTGGGGAGTTTACCAGCACTGGCAGGGCACATGTGTTTGTGGTCAAACAGCATCCTGGCACCCCATTTTTTTTTGTCAAATATGACAAAGGATGAGCAGAAGCAACATGAGCCTCCCCAGTGGTTTTCCCTCCAGTCTACAAGTCCCTGTCATAGTCTAATTAACCACTAGAAAATAATAATAGCCACAGAACAGGAAAACACTTTTGTATTTAGCTTGCAAAGGCACAGCTACCAAGGTTAGGAAACACTGCTAATCCCGGTTCAGCTCCCTTACGCTTCCAGAGCCTACTGCAGGCCTGAATGACAGGACCATGATTTGCTTTTTTCCTCACAGGACTGTTGCTTATCCATTGGACGATGCTGCTGAGACAGGGCTGCCAGACCAAAAAGAAGAAAAATGAAAAAATGCCAACTCAAGGGAAAAAAAAAAATAAAAAATATTGTGAGGTACAAGAGGAACGGTGCTTTAGCCCCTGAATCATCTTCTTCACAGTACTAAAATTGTGCTAAAAACAATGAAAACAGGAATTACTTTAAAAAAAAAAAAAAAAAGGACTGCATGTTTGACGAGCAGATACAAAGGGCACCACTAATTCCTCCCATCACTGAAGACCATCCAGATGGGTTCCCCAGGCAGCTGATTGCAGGACGCAAAACCATGAAATGGCAAATGCTCTGCAAATCTAACAACATGTGGCAAAGAGCAAGAAAAACCCAGAGACACCCCCCCCCAGACCCAGGAAGGAGGTGACAGCAGGGAACCTATCTCCAGTGGTACCGGCACCTCCAGGACCTCCATCACCTCACAGCGCACAGCCGTCCTCCCAGCATCAGGCTCGCTGAGAGGCCATTAGGAAATGTTTCAAGCTGTAAATGAAGTGAAAAAAAAACAGCAAAAGTGAGATGTAGTCTAAAAAAAAAAAAAAAATGTCCTTTTTGGTTCCAGTTGCTCACTGTTTCACCAGAGGAGTGATTAATCACCAGGACTGTGTTACAGGCGATTCAGCAATTGCTGCAATGCAGGGGTTTTGTTTGTTTGTATTAAGGAGAAAGGGAAAAAAAAATCCCGATTATTATTTAGCTCCCAAGATTGGGTTTCTACAGCTTTATGAAATTCTTCCCCGTTTAGAATGCTCAGGCCTGAGCAGGCTCACAGCACCAAGGCAGAGACACCACGGCAGGCTGGCATCCCCAGACTCGACTGTGAGAGAAGTCACACAGGAGGCAGTGCCACGGGGCCAAGGGTATTCTGACCCCCCGATCTCCCCGCCCGTGTGCTGGCACAAAGCAGCACCCCTCCGATGGGAAGGATCTGTGCTAGAGGAGCTCCTGTGCACTCACCATGTGGCCATAGCAGCCCGACAGGCAGGGCAGGGGTGTGCCCATGTGCCAATTTGCAGTGGCTGGGCTAAAAGACTGCTATCTCCTCCTGCGGGCGCTAATTTTTGCTTTGAAAAAGGTTTAGCTTAAGCTCTACAGAAACCCAACTGAGGGCATTCATTCACCCGTGCTCAAACACAGCAGGTTTGCCCGTGTGTTAAACAAGAATGATGCTGCTTCGCAGAATGGGGCAGACATGGGGGTCTGCAGCCAGTGAAGAAGGCAAAGCTAAAAGCACCAGTGCTGCGGTGCAGAGGAGTCTGAAGAACCTGCTTGCAGTATTTGAATTCCTATCTTTTGCCAAAGCAAACTGGCCGCAGAACACAAAATGTGCCAGGACATGGCCAAAACTCTGGTGTCCACAGAAAGCCATGCCTAGATTTAAGCCTCTGAGTCACAACTCAAAAAGGTGTCAATTTTTGCAAGCAGCCAAGGAAGATAGTTCTTTGTCCTGACACTTTCTAAAGAGGATTAAAAGAAAAAAAAAAAAAAAAAACACACAGGGAAAAAAAAAAAAACCAACCCAAAAAACCCCACCAAAAAAACAAACCAATTAAAACCCCGG